AAACAGAATACGTGAAGCAGGTTCAAAGAGATTGCCAGGAAACTAAAAACTCTATCGAAAGCTGGCATAACAGCTTGAAAGAAATTAAGGATAGATTATCTGAACTGGAGGGCAGATTTGTAATGTGGGTGCATGAAATGAAAAACTTCTTTAAAATAACAAGAAAACAAACAGCAATAATACAAAGGCTAGAAGATGATAAGAGAATCTATAACTTAAGAATTAAGAATGTAAAAGAAAAAATAGGACACAAACAATGAACTACAAAGGCGATTCACAGAAATAATCCAGGAGAATTTCCCTAATTTAGCAAAAGGTAAAGATACTCAGATGTGTAAGGCATACAGGACCCCAGCCACCTACAACCCAAACAGAGCTACACCCAGGCATATAACAATCAAAATTCCAGAAATCCAATATAAGAACAGAATATTAAAAGCTGTCAAGAGACAAAAAACAGATCACTTACAAGGGAACATCCATCAGAATTACAGCAGACTTCTCGGCACAAACCATCAAATCACGAAAAGCGTGGGGGAAAATAATTCAAGCTTTGAAAGATAATAACCTCCAGCCAAGATTGATATATCCTGCACAACTGTCCCTGGAAATTGATGGAAAAACAAAGTGCTTCCAGGATAAAGAGGAACTAGGGGAATTTGCAACCACCAATTCAACTCTACAGAGAATACTGCAGGATATTCTAAAAAAGGAAAATACCAAGATTCCAGAAATAGTGGCAGAGAGGCCACAATGAATGGAGCAGAAAGAGAAATGAAGAAGACAAACTGACAAGACCTTCTTGAACTCACAATGATTCCTCTGGCTCAGCCTCCTGAGTGTTGGGATTACAGGTATGTGTTACCATGCTCAGCACAGAAGCAGTTTTTTAAGTACTGGGAATTGAACCCAAGGCCTTCACTCTAGCTCTTTTTTTCTTTTTCCCTAATAGAATTTTATTTTCTTCCTTTTCATTTAAAAAAAATTTCCCTTCTTCCCTTTCCCCTCCCTCCTCCCTAGTTCTGCTTCCCACTTGAACATTTTCTATTTCACAATGTCTGTTATACATTTTGGTCCTTATTTACATTTTCAGTTTCTCACATCAGAGAAACAATGTAGTATTTACATACATGTGTCCAATGTATTTCACTTATAATTATGGGCTGAGGGTACATTCATTTACCTAGAAATATCTCAAACTTATCCTTATTTATAGTAGAGTAGCACTCCACTATAAAAAAAACCCTACATCTTTATCCATTCACCAGTTGATGGACATTTAGATTGTTTCCAAAGTTTGCCTATTTTAAACTGTGCCACTATAAACATGGATATGCATACATCACTGTAGTATGGTGCTTTTTTTTGGTTCTGGAAATTGAACTTAGGACCTTGTGCTTGCCAGGAAGATGCTTGTGCCACTGAGCTATATCCCCGTCCCTCATGTTTCCTTTCAATTCTTTCACATTCCTAGCTCTTTTTATTTTTTTCTTTTAAAAGCTTTCCAGAGGCTGGGAATATAGCTCAGTGGCATATGCGCCTGCTCAGCAAGTACGAAGTCCTGAGTTTGGTTTCTGTTACAAGAAAAAAAAAGGCTGTCCAGATGGGTCTTGAGTTTGCTACCCTCTTGCATCAGCCTTACCACGTAGCATGTGCACTGAGCCCAATCAAACAAAAAAAAAGTTTGAGACAGTCTCATAGCCCTATTGCCCAGATTGGTCTTGAATTCTCTTTTTTTTTTCTTTTGAGATAGGGTCTCCCTATATGATTTGGACTGGCCTTGGAACTCAGTATGTAGCCCAGGCTGGCCCTGAACTCCTGATGATCCTCCTTCCTCAGGCTCCTAGTTTCTGGGATCACAGGTGTGCTCCACCATGCCTGGCCTGGTTTTGAACTCTTGAGTTCAAGATCTTCTTCTCCCTGCCTCAGGGAGTAACTGGGTCACTGGGACTTGTCATGGTGGTGGCTATCTCATACTTACATAGTGTAAATTAGGCATGATAGCATATTGCTTGTAGTCCTAGTCCTCTGGAGGCTAAGGCAGAAAGATGAAAAATTTGAATCTGATCTTGGCAATTTATTGACCTAGTGAGAAAACCTGTCTCAAAATAAAAAATAAGGCTGGGAGTTCTGGCACACGCCTGTAAGGAGGCTGAGGCAGGAAAATTGCTGCCAAGTTCTAGGGCAGCCTGGGCTACATAGTGAATTCAATACCAATCTGGGGGGCTGGGGATTTAGCTCAGCAGCATAAGTGCCTGCCTTGCAAGCACATGGTCATGAGATTGATCCCTGGTACCCATAAAAAAAAAAAAAAAAAAAGAAAGAAAGAAAGAAAGAATACCAATCTGGATTATACAGTGAGAGCCTATTCCTCCTCCCCCACAAAATCAGTAAGTAAATAATTATTCCACACCTCCAAATAGTAATAGTTATTATCAGAGGCAGATTTACCATGAAGCAAGGGGTAATCCTGAAGGTCCTATCTGCAGACTTTGGGAGCACTGAAAGCTACTGAGAAGAGGGACTTGTAATCAGTGTTCTAACTGGGGAGAAGCCAGACTTCAAAATAGATTATTTCTTTCTTTTCTCCCGCCCCCCCTTTGTGGTGCTGAACTCAGCAGCTTGCACACTATAGCAAGGGTTGTACTGCTGAGCTGCACCTCCAATTTCTTTTGTGCTAGAGAAAGAACCCAGGGTCTCAAGCATGCTATGGTAGGCACATCCTGCTTCTACCACTGAGCCACACACCCAGCTCCAGTAACTACTTCTTTGTTTTTCAGCTGGGGATTTAAATCAAGGCCTACCACATATCCAGGAAGTATTTTTATGGCCACATTCCTGAATAATTGCTTAAAGAGGTTACAAAAGATACAGACTTAAATTGCCATGGTTCCAAGCTTGGGTGTGTCCTTTTATATGAATATTAATTAAGTATCTAATTTTGGAGGATCCCAAAGGTACTAACAAAAGCTTTAAGCCCTGCAAAGCTCTGAATCTCAGCACAGTGAGTGCTGTCAGTAAGAACTGTGGAGCTAGATTATCTAAATTCAAGTTCTGGAGGTATGCATTAGGTGTGTGAACTTGGATAAATTCACAAAAATTAATGTGTGCAAAGTGTAGGCAGCCCCCTACGATTAACATAATCAATATGTACCGCAGACATTACTAATAAAAATAAAAGCATTTAAAAAGTGCTTAGGCAGGCACACATTAGCTTAGTCTGTTTCCTCAATAATAAACCTGCCTCACACTCATGAGCACTAAATGGACTTTTACATCTTAAGAAAGTTAGAAGTGCATGGTGGTAAATTGCCATGTACACATGTACTGTTGTTATCAAAGGGCAACTAGGGGGGCTGGGGATTTAGCTCAGCGGCATAAGCGCCTGCCTTGGAAGCAGGCAGTCGTGAGTTCGATCCCCGGTACCGATAAAAAAAAAAAAAAAAAAAAAAAAAAAAAAAGGGCAACTAGGTTATGCATAGAATTGTGTTAAGTACTTTCGTCATTGGAGAAGCCAGGTCTTGACATAGCAAGAACCCCACTTAGTTCTCAGTTCTTTGTGCCCTCGATGAAGGAACTCAATCATGATACATAAGTTGTCGTGCAAAGTAGAGTAAAAAGTTGAGTTACACTCTCAAATGAAAAGGAGGCAGGCCATGCCATGAAAGATCCTGTGCTAAGTGCAAGTTTGAACACATTTTTATACATACCCAAGTCAATCCTGGAGTTCAGGAAGTTAGGGTAATTGTGATGTTCGATGACATTTTACTTAAAATTACTTTTGAATGCAAGTTGTCCTTTTTGAATGGTCAGAATTTCCTCAAGGACTTTAATTATGTAAGAAATCTATGAAAGATTTTTTTTTTTTGGTTTAAATTTTTTTTTTTATCAGTACCGGGGATAGAATTCACGACTCGTGCTTGCAAGGCAAGCGCTTATGCCGCTGAGCTAAATCCCCAGCCCTTTTTTTGTTTTTGTTTTTTTGAGACAAGGTATTGCCATGTAGTTCAGGCTAGCTTTTTTGAACTCATTATGTAGCCCAGCTTGGCAGACTCCTCCTGCCTCAGCATCCCCAGTTTTGGGATTACAGGTGTGGGCCACTACATCCAGCTGCTGATATTTTTTTTTTCTTAATAGTAACACATGCTACCCTTCCCCCTTTTCCCCATGTGTCCCTTTTCCTTCAGACCCGCTAATGTGTGCCAGCCTAAGCATTTTTTTTTTTTTTTGGTCTTTTTCGTTTTTATCGGTACCAGGGATCGAACTCACGACTGCCTGCTTGCAAGGCAGACGCTTGTGCCGCTGAGCTAAATCCCCAGCCCCCAGCCTAAGCATTTTAAAATGCTCTTATTTTTATTAGTATATATTTGTAGTACATAATGATTACATTATCGTGGGGAGCTGCCTAACACTTGGCATGTATTAATTTACATCTGAGAGTAACGGGGCGGAGGGGGGGGGTTCTCTTACACTACCATTTTAAATAGAAGTTCTGAGAGACTGGGAAACTGAGTCTCTGACTCCAAAATGCACGCTCCCACCTGGGAAAATTAGGTAGCGTCTTCCAGGACACCACAGACTGAGAAAGTCACATCCCACCGTCCGAACCCACAACTTGGTCATCCCGATCAAGGGCTCACCGCCTTCCAGGCAGGCCTGCCCGACTTCACCCCGATCTCTCTCCAGGTCTGGACAGGAAAGATGCGATCGGCTCTAAAAACGACCCAGACTCGCAGAAATCTTCCGCCTCTGCTCCAGGTGGTAAACTCCTCTGCGGTCCAGCCTGTGGCACACTGCCCTGGGATCAGCTCCTAGCGCGAAACCCAACGCCAGCGCCTAAGCCCCACCTCCCAGCGCGCAGAGGCGCCTCTCTAGCCTTCAGGCGGAGCTAGCACTATAGGCGGGGCGGTTGGCCAGTCCCTTACGTAACGATCACGTCGAACACCGACCACATCGAACGCAGCCAATAGGTGAAGCGTCGGCAGCGTGGCGGGAAGTTCGATTAACTCGGCCTGGCGCCTGTTAACGCGCGCTTCGGGAAGAGGAAGGTTGAGGGACTTCTGCGTGTACCTCTGTCAGTCTCGGCCGCTCTCTTAGCACCTCCAGTGTTTTACTACTCCTTCCTGGATCCGAATATCTTCCTCAGTCCAGACTGGCATCCTCTCCCCCGCCCTGGGAAATCCACCTCCGGTTTCAGAAGACTCTCCCCCGTTAACCTCATTTCTCTTCCCTACTACGATTTCCCACCCCTCTACCTGTACCTGTCCCCCCTCTTCACCTTCCTGAGATCATTATTCCTACTTAACCCTGTCCCCCCAGTCCTACACTTAATTGTCTCTGCCGTAACTTTTCCTCTTTGACTTCGTCTCTTGCCTTGGCTCACTGGCGACCGACATTTTCAGTTTGGACCCATTCCCATCCCCTGGCTAGATTCTCCATCGATAGTTCCTCTTTAATTATCCCATCTTCTCCATGATGTAGCAGTGCTCTCAATACACACCCTGGTCCGGCATCCTCTGTGGCTGAGTGCTTTCAATCTTTAACCCATGGGTACTTAACATATTCTGCTTCTGAGTCCAGGATGGTAAGTGTGTGCTTAGGGGAATCTGGGAAGAACGCTTCACCTGGGTCTAATGGGCCCAGGCCGCAGGATTCCTTCAGGTGTTTAATTTTTTTTTTTTTCTCCCTTTACAGAGAAGGAGCTTAGCTCCCAGCCAGTTGGCCAAGAGAAAATCAGAGGGTAGGTCCTCTGATGATGAAGATTGGCAGCCTGAGACAATGGTGAGTGTCCAGGGGGAGAGGAAACCAAGGAATGCAGGGCTGTTTGGACAGAAAGGAAGCCTAGACTTTGGATTCTATAGTCACTTGCTTTCTGGAGTTTTTATTTATTTATTTATTTGGTACTGGGGATCAAGCTCACGACCTTGCACTTGCCAGGCAGGCGCTTATGCCACTGAGCTAAATCTCCAGTGCTTTCTGGGATTTTATAGTCACCTCTAGAAGTCTTTTCATATGTTCAGTTAAGCAGATTTGTGTTTTGTTTTGTTGAGGCAGGATAATGCTATGTAGCTCAGGTTGGCTTGTGCTCAGTACATAGCCAAGACCGTCCTGGAACTCTCAGCAGTTCTCCTGCCTCGGCCTCTTGAGAGCTGGGATTACAGGTGTTCAGTAAACTTTTAATGAATGCTAACTAATGTGCCAGGCATTGAACACGATTAATAAACTGTCCTCTGAGTAGCTTCACCAGAAGGTGATATGCTATAGCCTCAATTTTCCCAGTGGGAGAGGTATGCTAAAGCCAAAAAGCAGGTTAGATTGGGTCCGTTGACTCTTGTGGGGGATCTAGAGGCTCCACCACAGCAGCTGACAGCTTCCTGTTTTACTCTTTGTCACTCAAGTGTCATAAAAAAGTAGGGTATTTTGAGCCTACTTTTAAGATTCTGAGCTTACTTGGGTCTAAATCTGAGGGTGATACCCTTTCAATTCTTGCTCATTCTCAAGTATGGCTTTTTATTTTCTTGAAGTCCTCCCAAAATAGTTCAAGCTGGTTTTGAACTCACTATGTAGCCCAGGCTGGCCACATACTTGTGATCCTTCTGCCTCCCGAATGCTGGGGTTACTGGTGTGCGTCAGCATGTCTTGCTCAGCACCTCTTTTGGGGACAGAGTTATGCTATGTTGCTTAATTTTAGGTTGGTTTTAAACTAACTGGCCCAAGTAATTCTTTGGCCTCAGCCTCTTAAGTACCTGGGGCTATAGATGTGTGTGACCACACCCAGGTTTTTTTTTCCACATCCAGCTTTAAGAAGCACTTTAAATGCTTGTCACCATTAGGTGTGATCTCTGTCTTCCAGACCTCAGTTTTCTAATTTCTCTCTCTTAGACTCCTAAGAAACGGAAATCCAGCAGTGAGACTCCGATCCAAGAGTGTTTCCTATCTCCTTTTCGGAAACCTTTGACTCAGCTAACCAATCGACCACCCTGTTTGGATAGCAGTCAACATGTAAGTCAGCATTTCAACTTGCCCATGTATGTCTGTGCCAGGTCCTTTTGGCTTAGTAGACTATTGTTTCTGTTCTTACCCAGCAGACAGTATATCTTCACAGAATGCCAGCCTGTCCACAGCTGGCCTCAGTTGGCTCAGATTTCCAAGATAAAGGAGCAGGCGTCTCATGGCAACTGTCTTTGACTCTGCTTACTGCTTTTGTTTTTGTTTTCTGAGACAGTCTCAGTATGTAGTTTAGGATGGCCTTGAACTCATATAGTCCAGGCTGGCCTCAGACTCATGGTGATCTTCCTGCCTCAGGCTCCTCCCAAGTGCTGGGATTATAGGCATGCACTATCACAGCCTGAATTTGTGTGTCTTCCTTGTGCAGGGACCACACTAATCTTCTCTGTATCATTTGAGTTTTAGAATATATGCTGCCAGAGTGGCACTGTTTATGGCTTTTATATTATTTCCCTCGTTCTAAAGCTTTTTCCACCAAGTTTTCTGAGGAATTTTTTGAAAGAAAAATGGGAATATGTTGATGGTATTACTGAGGCTTGTAAAATACTTGATGTCTAAAGGAACATGTGTAAATTATAAAACTGAATTAAGGGGCCAGGGATTTAGCTCAACGGCATAAGTGCCTGCCTGGTAAGTGTGAGGTCATGAGTTTGATCCCCAGTACCACCAAAAAAAACAAAACAAAAAACCCCCACAAAACTGAATTAATACTTGTGAATCCCATCAGGACTAGAACACTGCCAAATCCATAATCTCGGGGCTGGGGATTTAGCTCAGCGGCATAAGTGCCTGCCTTGTGAGCAGGCAGTCATGAGTTCGATCCCTGGTACTGATAAAAATGAAAATGACAAAAAAAAAAATTTTTCATTGCACAAGTCCATAATCTCTTTCCCCACCCCAGAGGAAGCACTATGCTGAACTGTGTTCACCCTGTGTTTAGTGATAGTTTTACTGACTATTTCTATATATAAAACTCAGGGTAATATATTTAATTTTTAAAAATGATGTTAAAACTGTAGCCTTCCAGATGGTTTTTGTTCAGGATTCAGTGAGGCTGTCTTATGTGACTTTGTGCAGTTGTGAGCGAAAAACATGGGCCTTAAAAGGGCCAGGAAGGATCTGATTCCAGGGGACATGGATTGGGAGGGCATAAGGGTTAGCCAGGCAAAGAGAGTAAGAAATACTCTAGGTACAGGGAACAGCAGGCATGAAAGTCGGGCAGCAGGAGAGTGAGGCAGGTCCTGAAAAGAGTTTTGCATGGCTGGATCAGTGGGGAATGTGGAGAGCTGGTGGATGATGATGGGATGAGAGCTGAAGAGGTGTGCAGAGACTGGGAGGGGAATGTGTTTTGTTTTGTTTTTGTGGTAGTGAGGATTGAACTAAGGGCCTTTGCACTGAGCTACTTTCCAGCCTTTTCTAATTTGTTTTCTATCCTTTCTAGATTTTGTGACAGGGTCTTGCTAAGTGGGGTGCAAACTTGTGATCTTCCGTCTTGAGTCTCTCTGAGTATGGGATTACAAGTGTGCACCACCACACTTGGCTTTATTTTTTTTGAGACATGGTCTTGCTAAGTTGTCTGTTCTAGTTTCAGACTTGCAGGACTCCTGCCTCAGCTGCCAGAACAGCTGAGGTTACAGCTTTATTCTACCATACTTGGTGTTTTGAGGTATTTTAAGTGTGAGTGGCAGGTGTAATATTATAGAAGATCCATTGGGGCTGGGGTAGGTAGGGAATCAGTGAGAAGGTTATTATAGGTAGCTAGACAGGAGATCATGGACTGGACTTGAGTGTGTGAGTGTGGGAATGGGAAGCAGTAAGTAATTTTGAGAGATACTTAAGAGTTACTAGACTGGATTGATTGCATGTGAGGAGAGAAAATTTAAGGTGAACTTGAAATTTCACAAATGGACAAGGAGAATGAATGATGGCACCATCTACTAAGATAGGAGCAAAGAGGAGCAACATTTTGGTAGGAGGGAGATAAGTGGGTACCTTAGTCACATGGCCCATGATACTTTAGGGGCCCACAGAATGTTTTAATTCCTGTTTGTTTTGTGTTATCTTTTGAGAAGGGCTCTCACTGTGAAGCTCAGGCTGGCTTTGAACTCACAGTGATCCTGTCAGCTTCCCAAGTGCTGTGTTTACAGGTGTGTGGCACTACACTGGCTTTCATTCATTTTTAAAAGTGGTTTAATGTATTTGAATAGCAAATTTACAGGGTCACAAAAGAAGACAGCCAACATTAAAAACATGTTTTAGGGGGACAACTAAGAAAAGTATAGTGAATGGATGGCACCTACTGTACGATGAAAATGCTATAAACACCATTTGGTTGTTGTCAATAAAAATTTACTTATTTTTAAAAACACAATTGGTTAGCCGGCTGTTGTGGCACATACCTATAACCTCAGTGTCTGGGAAGCTGAGGCAGGAGAATTACAAGTTCAAGCCTAGCCTAAGCAAGTTGCTTAGTGAGACTGTTTCAGAATTTAAAAAGTTCTAGTAGTGTAGCTCGGTGTGAAGGCCATGTAAAGGCAAAAAGAAAAAACAAAATACATTGATGCTGAGCGTGGTGGCACATGCCTGTAGTTCCAGTAACTGGAGGCTGAGGTGGGAGGATAACTTAAACCTACAAATTCAAGGCCAGCCTGGGCAATGTGGCAAGACTGTATCTCAAAAAGAACAAAAAACAAATGATGTCATTGTCCAGAATAATGTAACAGGCTTATTTATAATTACTATAAAGTTTATAACAGTTGTTATAATAAAGGTTATATTTGTTACAAAGCTGAACTGTTGAAACATTTTTGTTTGGCTTTAATGCTTTTAATATGTGCATTTGTATTAAAAATTCACACACAAATGAAAAATAGAAAAATCACCAGTATATTTTCCATTCGCAATGATACCTACCTCTTGACACCATTTGTGTGTGTAGAGGGGGAGGAATCCTACCATTTAGAACTACCAATAATCACACTTGCCAGGCAGTTGCTGTGCCACTGAGTTAAATCCCTGGCTCTTTTACTTATTTTTTGTGAATGAAATGTTTCCTGTGATAGTGGATTCAGCCATGTTCACCACCCTATGTGGGATGCTACTGGATGTCCTGGCATAATCTTTACACATTTGGCAATAGTGGAACATCGGTTGGTGTTTTTAAAAAGGCCAACAAGGTAAGCCTTGCTTGTCTCCCGCAAGCACCAACAGCTGTGCTTTGAAAGTGCAGGTCTGTTTTAAGTCCTGAACAATTTCTCACACCAGATGAGATGCTGAAGGGAGAGCATGCCACAATGCCAGGTCTGACATGGTGAAGTTTCTTCATCTCTCCAGTAGAGGGTGCACTCTTCCAACTGACTTGCTTCCCGATTGCTGTCTTGGGTTGATCTGCAGGCAGGCAGTCTCTATACTAGCTGTGGTTCAGACTCCCTTACTTACTCCTTCAGCAGCAGTGACCTTTAATTCCTTTTAAAATTAAAGAAAAAATCTATGGCAGTGACTCCATTCGGGACTGTGTTTGTCTTTATACTCATGCAGTCATCAAAAAAAAAAAAAAAAAAAAAAAAAGATTATACACACACACAGGAAGCTCAGGAGGCAAAAATGCCTGGGACCTACAAGAGTCAGTGTAGCCTTGGGGATGAGAACTTTAGCCTTAGGCTTGACAGGTTTGAAAGGCCTGTAGATAGTTAAGATTGGACGCGGTTTTTGGTGTGGAGCTAGGAATGAGGTATAGACTAGAAGTAGATCTAGAGGTTATTAGCATAGAATAAAGTACTTCAGGGTTGGGGGAAGGTGCACTTGGAGGAACTGAACTGACGGCTAAATCCTGAGCCCCAAGGAGCACTGATTTTTAAGGGGCTCAGGCAGAGGAAGTAGTTATTAGGAGATTAAACATGAGGTTCCAGGGAGGTAGAAGAGGTAGAAGAAGATGTCTAAACATCAGGGGCAGAACATGGTGGAGAAGGAATGGATGGCCTTGTCAGGTAAGATAAGGTTATAAACAAGTCTATTGGAATTTGGGTCATGTGGGTCTTTGGTGACCTTGAGCAGAGATGGGGGTATAAGGACAAGGCCCACAACTCTTCCCACAGGTTTGCCTGTGGAAGAGAGGAGATAAGGGATCAAAAGAATTCTTGTTTTGTTTCAATGCTGGGAATTGAAGCCAGGGTTTTGTGACTATTGAGCTATACCCCCAGCCCTTGAGCAACAGCTAGCAGAGAGGGAGAGCTTGAGATATAGGGGTGATAGAGGGAATCTCTGTGGAAGCAGGAGCTCTGGCCTTGGTGGGGAGGAGGGACGTGCTCTCCTATCAGAAGGGAAGGATGGTATGTGTTACTAGTGGGTAAATGAGCAAGCCTAAGCGCAAGCAAGCTGCTTTCCTCTGCCTCACTCTCGTGTTGCAGACTAGACCCCCAGGGGTTGCCTACCTGTCTGTCTCCCAGGCTGTGTGCTCAGGTTTTTTTGGCCAGGGATTTCCACATTCTCCTTGCCAATTATATGAGCTGTAATCCTCCCTGTAGGACCTGTGGCTGCTCGGTTCTACTGAAAGTCTGTTTTTTGCATAAAGTTTTGACTATTTGGAGCCTCAAATCTAGCTCCCTATCTGGATAACTTTGAAAGTACTATAGTATTTCAGTTCTAGAATTGATACCAAAGGGAAAAAAAAAGAATTGATACCAAAGTCCTGAACATGGTAACACATACCTGTAACCCCAGTGCTGAGGTAGAAGGATTGTGACTATGAGGTCAGCACGAGCTACCTAGTGCACCTGTCCCCAAAAAAATTATTTTTAGCTGGGGATTAGCTCGGTGTCATAAGTGCCTGCTTAGCAAGCATGAGGTTGTGAGTTCGATCCCCAGTCAACAACAACAACAAAAAAGATTATTTAAAAGAAATAAAATTTTTAAATGCTAAATTACAAAAGAAATCAGAGTCCTCTCCTTTTTCTTCTCCGCTTTCTGGCTTAAAGATAGCTTTTTGTTAGCACCTTACATAGTGATTATCATTGCAGATCATTTAAAAAATAATCATGCTGTTTAAAAACAGTCAGAAAAGCCAGGGATGATGATGCATGCCTATAACCTTAGCACTTGGAAGGCTGAAGCAGAAAGATTACCAGGAGTTCAAGGTCAGCCAGGCCTGTATAGTAAGTTCAGGGTCAGCCTGAACTACAGTGAGACCCTGTCTTAAAAAAAAAAAGAAAAAAGAAAAAAAAAAGTCAAAAGAAATGTATAAGTAAACAGGATTTGGACCTCTTCCAGTTTTCCCCTTCTTATTGTTATTGTTATTTTTTTCATTTTGAGAAGGTTACACTATGCAGTTCAGGCTGGGCTTAACTCACTTTGTAGCCCTGGTCTCCAACTTTCAGCAATCCTTCCTTAGCCTCCTGAGTGCTGCAATTACAGGTGTGCAACACTATGCCCAGCTTCCCCTGTCTTATTATTTACTGTAATAACAATGATTTCACTTTTTTTTTTTTTTTTAAACAATGTTCTACTATATAGTCTAGGTTGACTCCAAACTCCTGGTGATCTCCTGCATCTGCTTCTGGTGTGCTGGAATCATGGGTGTGCACCACCACATCTGGCTCCCCACTTTTTTATATTATAATATATCACAAGATATTTATTATATTTTTCCTGTTTAAAGTACATTGAAGCCAGGTGTTTTAGTTACATTCTTTGTTGCTGGGACATAACACTCAGCAACCACAGTTAAAGGAAAGGTTTATTGTGGCTCATAAAAGGTAGAGGTTTCATAGTTAGCAGGCTCTAGGCAGAGGGGACTTGCTTATGGCATGGCTGCCAGAGGAAGAGATCATGAAGGAAGGAGGAAGGGGGAGAGAAACCTTTACAGGCCACACCCCTTGTGACCCGCCTTCTCTGACCAATCAGTGAGGACACTTCCTAAGTTGAAATTTATTTTTGTTTATTTTTAGTACTGGGAATTGAACTCATAACCATGTATTTGCCAGGCAGGCACTTGTGCCACTGGGCCCTTCAATACTAGAGTCTTTGATGGGCTGTTTAGTTCTCAAGGAGCTGATACGAGAATTAGATGCAGTAGGGATAACTGATGTGGTCAAAAAAAGAATTGTGGAGTGGAGTTGTAGTGTGATAGAATATAGGACCTTAGCATTTGCAAAGCTGAAGGTTTAATCCCCCAGCAAAACAAACAGACATGACAGTTAAAAAAAATGCAAATAGCAGCATAATTTGTAATCACCAGATCTTGGAAACAACCCAAGTGTCCATCAACTGAGGAATGGATAAAAAAGTTGTGGTGTTTCTATACAATGGAGTATTACTCAGCTATAAAGAAGGATCACATTGAGATATTTATCAATAAATGGGTGCAGTATTTATCAAAAATGGGTGCAGCTTGAGACCATACTCATAAGTGAAATAAATCAATCTCGCATGTGTGAATACTGAATAGTTTCCCTAATGTAAGTAATGATTCAAATATATAAAAATATGTGGTAATCATGATTCCCCATTATGTGGCCTTGAAGCCTTATAAAGTTTTCACTTATTAATTGGAAAGGCTTTATTCTGGGCTTCTTGATATGGAAATATTTGAAGCTATAGTATATGAAGTTTTGTTCAAATATTTCAAGGAAAAAGACAGAAACTATGGTAACTACTATTAAGTCGGGTTATTTGGTGGTGAAGCACTAGGTTGCTGAAACAGTCATGCTTTGACCTGTATTGTTATATTGTTATGTCCTCTTTTATCTCAATCTCTCCCTTATTCATTAAAAAAAATTAGTTATTTTTTATGTTTTTTTAATTAAGGGGAAAAATTTAAAAAATTAGCAGGATATAAAATAGTAACTTTTTTGATTTCCTATTAACTTGTTTTGAAGTCCTGTAATACTCCCACTATCTTGTTTTGACTGATTAGACTCTGTTCCATTCTGTATGATAGTATCAAGTTTGAGGGTATAGGCAACTACTTTGAAGGCAATAAGATTCACTAAGATGCCCATTCTGGTTTGACTATTGTCTCCTTTGGAAGTCCTGTAATGTTTACAATGCTTAAGTTTTATTGGTCTTGTTCTCTACTGTTTTGTTCAACTTTATAATACCTAATGAGATAGACAATTCTTTTAAGGAAACAAGGGACATTATGGTAACCATTGTTGATAACCTTGTACTCTGTTTTTACATCATGTGCTATGTCTATCCTTGGTTTTGACTGACAGCTTTGTTTTGCCACATTTGACTTTATTCCCCCCCCCCAAAGTAATAAGAACTAAGCTAAGGAGTAATAAAACCCAAAATGTGTAAATTTTGTTGTAAAAAAGAGAAGGAAAAAAAGTGCTCTAAAAGATACAACAGCAGTTGTGTTTAGGGGTGTTAAATAGCTGACCATATTGATGTTTTGGGTTGGATCATTGAACACAGCTGTTTGCAGTCTCACTGTTTGAATGTCTACTTTGTATGCTTTGATACTGTGACTTGAGCAACTATCTCTAAGATGATAATATGTAATCTATTAACTGGTGATTTCTTACTGTTTTTTTTTTTTTTTGTAGTTCTGTATTATTTGTACCCTTACACGGCTTAGTTTTGTTTTGTTTTTTTCTCTTTTTCCTTTTAAATAAAATTTTTAAAAAATGCAAGAAGAATCATGAGCTGTGTTTCGGAACAGCCTCTGGAATATACTGTTAGTACAGGGTGGGTAAGTATAGGGTGTCCTTACTGATGTAGTCTCCAACGAGCAAATGAATTCTGAGCCTCATAGTTGACTGAGGCCAGGTTCTTCTGTTATTCCTGTGTATTGTGGAACCTTACGTGAAAACCTAAAGGTGAAACTGGTACAAAAACCCAGTTTGGGTTTTCACTGTTGTTGTTTTACAGCGTGGAGTTTAACATAACCACAAACAAGCATCCTCACAGAATAACAAAATCATCCTATAACATCTCCCATCGGTTCTGAGTCTCTTGTTTTTCCTTTCATTTTAGGAGGCGTTTATTCGAAGCATTTTGTCAAAGCCTTTTAAAGTTCCCATTCCAAATTATCAAGGTAAAATGCAGACTTTCAGTTTTTTTTTTTAAATCAGTGTGTGTAAAGGATCGAATGTACTTGAATGGAGTGTACCTGCTTTTGAAAATATAATTTTGAGCCAGGCGTGGTGGCTTATGCCTGTAATCTCAGCACTCGGCAGGCTGAGGCAGGAGGATCTTTGAGTTCAAGACCAACGTGGGCTACAAAGTGAGCTCAAGGCCAGTCTGAACTGCATAGAGAGACCCTGTCTCAAAAAAGAAAAGAAAATACAACTTTAGCTGGGAATCAAGGATGCCGATTAGGTGATTACTGTTTTTCAGGTGACTCATGTGAGGCCCATGTGAAAGTCACATTAGCCTTTACTAGGGCTACTGAGACTGCTGTCCTTTATCCTGATAAAGTGGCCAGTGCTTTTGGGCTGGCTGACAAACCTAGCTTCCTTCAGTCCAAGCGTATTTATTAGCATTTCCTTTATGAAGTTAGCTGTGTGGGAAGTGTTATTTCTACAATTTTTCTCTGTCTGAGATTGGGTGCTGCAGTTCTCTAAAACTGGCAGTAGAGAAGGAAGAGGCCAGCTTTCAAGAGCTCTCGGGCTTGAAAGTCCTCTTTGGGGTTTCAGACTTTCCCAGAGTGACTTGAATTGAAATGAACAAGGCTTAGCCTTTTAGAAGTTTCCAGTTATATGAGAAAAATAAAATGAAAAGAGCTTTGGTCTTTCCCTGAAGGGATGATGGTTAGGTAGAGCTTCCCAAACTGGGTTTGGAGGTGTTGTTGGAGAGAGTAGTTCATATGAGACCCTGGGAAAGGTGATGTTGAAGAAGAGCATTTGAGCTGGGCCGGCTTGAGCCTCTTAACATAGAGATTTGGTAACAGACTGATTGTTGGTTTCCAGGTCCTCTGGGCTCTCGGGCATTGGGCCTGAAAAGGGCTGGGGTCCGCCGAGCTCTCCATGACCCCTTGGAAGAAGGTGCCTTGGTTCTGTATGAGCCTCCCCCATTGAGTGCTCATGACCAGTTGAAGCTTGACAAGTATGTGTACTGGTATTCCTCCAGTGATTTCAGTCTTCTGAAAATGTACATACCCAGAAACGTGGATAGTATTTTGGTATGATTTCTTTTTGGGATTGGAATAAATTATCAGAGAGAAGTCCTGATGACTGCATTATCCAGAGGGTAGGTGGTTGGGAAAGGAGAGAGCCAAGGGAAGCCTGTATGGTCCTGTCCAGTTAGTGTGGGGTCCCTCTCTCGCTCTAGCCATGCTTTCCTGGGAGGAAGAGTGATCGAGGCAAAGACATGGGGAATCCATCTTGCTTCCTAAGTTTTTACCTTCAGGAGTAGGCAACTTGGTCTGGTTTGGTTAGTAGGCCAAGAAGTGCTATCTGTGGCTTCTGCATCTACAGATACAACATCCTGAGCATCACCCTTGCCTATGTCTGAACCACCATGTTTTTTGTTGTGTTTTCTCAGGGAAAAGTTCCCTGTCCATGTGGTTGTTGATCCTGTTCTCAGTAAGGTTTTGCGGCCTCATCAGAGAGAGGTAAATGGGGGTGAGGGAAATGAGGTGGGTTGGGGTTGAACTTGGAGATTACTATGTTTAGGGCCAAAGCCCTGTAGGTACCAATGTGGACTGAACTCTTATTTTCTAGGGTGTGAAGTTCCTGTGGGAATGTGTCACCAGTCGGCGCATCCCTGGTAGCCACGGCTGCATTATGGCTGATGAGATGGGCTTGGGAAAGACACTGCAGTGTATCACGTTGATGTGGACACTTTTGCGCCAGAGTCCAGAGTGCAAGCCAGAAATTGACAAAGCAGTGGTGGTGTCACCCTCCAGCCTGGTGAAGAACTGGTACAATGAGGTTGGGAAGTGGCTTGGAGGAAGGATCCAACCTCTGGCTATCGATGGAGGATCTAAGGATGAGATAGACCAGAAGCTGGGTATGGAGCCTAAATAGAGACAGTTATACTCTTTCACTCTACCTGCTGCTTGCTTCTTATTTGTATATTCATTTGTGGCCAAGGTTGAGGCCTGACACAGGAATAGAAGAGAATTCCCATTGAAAATAGTCAAAAGTTACTTTCAGGCTATAGAAAAGAGCTATTATTTTAGTATTTTTCTTTACAATGTTCTGATCGGCTCTCTTGACTGCTTTTCCTGTTGTAGAAGGATTCATGAACCAGCGTGGAGCCAGAGTTCCTTCTCCCATCCTTATCATTTCCTATGAGACCTTCCGTCTTCATGTTGGAGTCCTTCAGAAAGGAAGTGTTGGACTGGTCATATGTGATGAGGTACTGGTTAAATGTTAGTGCTAGTTTTTATTCTAGGCTGGGAACTTTCATGAATGGAAGTGTAGAGATAGCAAGCCCTTTTAGTAGTTGATCCTTCTTTTCTGGCTAAGGGAAATACGGCAGCAGTCACTGCCTGGCCTTTTGTATTTGCAAATAGTGGTAGAAGGGCTAGTACCGTGAGGGCTTTTACTATAGAGAACTCTAGGACTCCAGTGGACTTGGCTACCTGATGCTACTGCTCCTTGTTTATACCTCATGGAGTGCATTAGCATAATTTGGCGCACATTTGGGGCTTTAGCAGAGAGCTGATTGAAATACTTGGCCTGATGAGCCATGTTGAAAGACTGTTGATCAGCCCAGGGATCTGAGGGAATCTAGTGAGAGGACAGAGGAAGAAAGCTTACTTTTGAGTACCATACTTGGTAGTTGTGACCCATTCCTTAGTTGGGGTTTTGTTCCTGTGAAAAGTCAGTCATTGTCCACAAATTCTTGATTACCTGATAGATTGTCCCTCCTGGTAGGAATAAAAGATTTAGTGGGTTGAGATGAGATATATGGACTGCTCTGTGCTTAGGACTTTGCATCTGTTTTATCAGCATGATGGGGGGTACTGTGCCAGAAGCTTAATCCAGGCCACAGTATTATAAGAGAGAACAGGCTATAGCTATTAATCCCATAAGGACTGCGGAACATCTAGATATTTTCTCTTTTCGTTTTTTTTTATTTTACTTTATTCTGTTTGTTTGTTTGTTTTTGAGACAAAGTCTCACTATGTAGTACAGGCTAGGTTTGAATTCACCATGTAGCATAGGCTGGCCCAAACTCACAGTTCCCCTTCTGCCTCAGCCTATCAAGTATTGGAGAAATTATTTCCTCTTTAGTGTTCTTTTTGTCCCCTCTCCCACTTTGTGTGTGGGTTTGGTTTTGGTTTTGGTTTTTTGAGACAGGGTCTCACTGTGTAGTTTAGGCTGGCCTTGAACTCCCTATGTAGCATACTTGCCTAAGTCTCCCAAGTGCTAGGGTTGCAGGTGTGTTCCACTATACCCTGCTTGTTCTATTTTATGGTACTTAGACATAAGCAAATAATTTATCTTTTGGATTAAACCCAGGTTTTGTTATGTTCTTTTCTTTTTGAGATGAGATTGCACTATGCAGTTCAGGCTGGCCATGAACTCACTTTGTAGCCCCAGCTGCCTCAAACTTGCAGCGATCCTTTTGCCTCAGTCTCCCAAGTGCTAAACTCTTAGCTTTTGTACTGAGCTATATCTGGCCCTTTAAAAAAATTTTTTTTTTTAAATTTTGATGCTGGGCATAGTGGCATAGGCAGGTAATCCCATTAATTGGGAGGCTTAGGCAAGAGGATCATCAGAGTTGAAGGCCAGCTTAGGCTACATAGTGAGTTCCAGGCCAGTGAACTAAACAGTGAGACCCTGCCTCAAAAACCATAAATAAGCAAATAAAATTTTTAAATTTTGAAAGCTGGGCATGGTGGAACACTCCTGTAATCCCAGCCCTTGAGAGACTTAGGCAGGAGGACTGTATTGAGTTCAAGACCAGCCTGAAATACAGCCTGTCTCGAACAAACAAACAAAATAACAGGGATATAGCTCAGCGACAAAAGTGCCTGCCTGGTGAATGCAAGGTCATGAGTTTGATTCCTGACACCCCCCACACACAAATTATTTTTTGTTTTGAGACAGTTTCTTGCTGAACTGAACAGGGCTGGGCTTGAACTTGCAATCCTGCCTTAGGCTCTTGAGTGCTAAGGTCACAAACTTGCACTGTCATGTCCAGCTGGGAAATTTCTTCACAAGTTTCACTCATTTCCTTCTTCAGGTCAGAAGTCTCAGTTCTCATTTTAGGGCTAGTACTAAGAGCCTCCAGTAAATTTTAAAAATTAAAGTTGTATGTTTATATAACTCATTTTTTATTCAGCTAACATTCACTGAACAGTATTTTGTTCTTGACTTCTCTCTTAGGTGTTGAAATTATAAAGCCAACCTGACACGGTTTCTGCTTTAAAAAGTTGATGCCTGTGATAGATTGTGGAGAGTGTCACAGAGCTTAGCTAGGACCTACCAGAATGCCTTTTTGTTTGTGTTTTGCTGTACTAGGGATTGAACTAGGCCTTGGCACTGCCCTACATCCCCACCTCCTTAAAGCTTTTGCTTTTTGAGGTAGGGTCTCACTAAGTTACCCAGGCTGGGCTTGAACTTAAAATCTTCCTTCCTGCCTCAGCTTTTCATAGTGGAGAATTTTTAAATGCTGGGCTAATGGTTCCAAAGAACTGGGGCTTGCTTGCCTATCCCTGCAGATGGGAGTGTTGCTGGAGGCCCTGTGGTCAGTTGTATTGTGAAAGACTGACTGCAGAGAGCAAGGCTCACTTGTTTGTTCATTGTTTGGCTGGTGACTGAGTATATGAATTGTCTAATGTGGAAAGGAAATGAAGGTGGATCTAGAGAAGGCCCAGGCTAGACCTTGACTCTGTGGTTCTTAGAAAAAGAGGGAAGATGGTAGGGAACCTTTACTTTTTTTTTTTTTTTGTGCCAAGGATCAAACTCAGGACCTTGTGCTTTCCAGACAGGCATTATACTGCTGAGCTAAATTCCAGCCCCCTTTACTATTTTCTTAATGATGGCTTAATAGGGAGACGTTATGCAGATGTGTATTTGGTAGGGAAGAAAAGGGAGTGGGAAAGAGATGTGAAGGGAAGCTGTTTAGATGTGTTACCTGTCTAGATTCTGCAGGAAGCAAGAACATTGTATCTGATGGCCTGACCAAAGCCCTGAGGCTAATACAGAAGGGATTCTGTTTACAAAGTTCTTGACTGGTGGGAAGGGATGACTCCTGGTAGACAAGGGGTTGTGATGTGGACATGAAATCTCTGAGGTTCTGGAGCTTCAGGACTCTGGAAGGTGGAAGCGGATGTAGAGAACTCTTGCTTCATGGATGTAGCAGTGGTCTGCAAACTGATTGTCTATCTTATTGTCCCTAAGTAAAAGGACGAATGAACTCTTATGCTACCCCCTGCCTAGTTCTGAAGACCTCAGGACAAGTATCATTTGTGACTCTTTTCTTCTTGTCTTCACTAGATTGCTGTCATTTAAGGTTGTCACATTATACCCTGAGTAAGAATTAATTCTCTTGCAGGGACATAGGCTCAAGAACTCTGAGAATCAAACTTATCAGGCCCTGGACAGTTTGAACACCAGCCGGCGCGTGCTCATATCTGGGACCCCCATCCAGAACGATCTGCTTGAATATTTTAGCTTGGTTCACTTTGTTAATTCAGGCATCCTGGGTAAGAGTCAGTTTTTTCTGCCACACTGGTGATACTTCAGTCTTCTTTTTTTGTACTGGGGATTGAACTCATGACCTTGCACTTGCTAGGCAAGTGCTGTGCCACTGAGCTATATATATCCCCAGCTTTTCTGCCACATTGGAAAGGAGTTTTGCCTGGCCTTGTCATAGGAGTGGCTTTAGCTAAGGAGAGAGCTCTGGTTAGGTGTAGGCCACTTGAACACTGTTGTAGGAAGTCTTTTCTTAGGGAGTACAAAGCCATTGGCAGGCAGGCCTTACCTCTGCAGAGTTAATCAGCAGGATACACTTTGGCTGTTTTCCTCTGCAGTAGGCCCCTCACATCTGAGTTCTCTCAGAAGAGCTTTGTCCTTGAAACAGACTGTCTTAAACAGCTTTTTCCTTCTCTTCCTTCTCCTCTTTTTTTTTTTTTTTTTAAACATTTAAAAAATATTAATATTTTATTTTTATTTTTTTCAGTGCTGGGGATTAAATCCAGGATCTTTGCACTAAACTATAACCTTTAAAATTTTTAAAAATTTTATCTGGGCATGGTAGTACATACCCCAGTACTCAGGCAACTGAGGCAGGGGATTGCCCAGAATTTGAGACTTAGCCTGGGCTACATCGTGAATTCAAGGTGATACCCTGTCTCCCCAAGTTGTTTTTATAAGTTTTGATAGAGGGCCTTGCTGAGTTTCCCAGGGTACACTCAAACTTGTGATCCTCTTGCCTCAGCCTCCTGAGTGCTGAGATTAAAGGTGTGTGCCCTATATCTTTTTCAAATGTATCAGTCAATGGTGTTAAGTACATTTGCATTGATGAGCAACCATTACCATTATCTATCTTCAGAATTTTTCAGTTTGCAAAACAAAACTTTTAAAACAACTTCTCATTCCTCCCTCCTACCCCTATTGACCACCACCATTTGGGCACTTACTGTACACAGATTTGTAGAAGGGTTTGTTGCTGCTTCCCTAGTTTGCCAATTCTTAGGAGTATCTCTTTTGGTAGAGAACCTCTAAGCAGCAAAGGTATCAGTGTGAACATATTTATATAATTAACACCCGGCCAATTACTGCCATGCCAGCTTTTCTGACCACAGTTCTTGTCACTGTCCCTTTCCTTTCACCTTTGAAACTTTCCCTGTTCTCCTCCTTGTCACCCTTTTGAGATAGGCTGTTGCTAAATTTTTCAGGCTGAGTTTAAATGGGATCTTTTTGTCTCTACCTCCTAAATTCTGGGACTATAGGCCTACCACACTTGGTTTTGACTTTGTCTTTGCCCATTTTAAAATATTTTTATCCATGTATCAATTGAGGGGTATTTTGGTGGTTTCTACCTTTTGGTTATTGTGAATAGCACTGCTGTAAATATTCATGTAGGCACTTTTGTTGGACATGTTTTCAGTTCTTTTGAGTAGAACTGCTGCATCATATAAAAAGTCTGTTTAACTGAAGATGTTCATTGTTGGGTTGAGGAAGTTCATTTCTATCTAGTTTACTGAGGGCTTTTCATGTGAAAGTGTTCAAAGCAACTTTATTTTTTTACGTTTCACATTAGTCTGTATTTTTCTTAGATTTTTACATATGGTATCAGGTAGAGATAAAGATTTACCTTTTTCCCTAAGAATATCTGGTTAATACAGCACTATTTATTAAAAAGACTGTTCTTTATGTACTACTTTGCAGTGCTACTTTCTTCGTATCTCCAGTGTCCATCTTTTGTGTTGCTCTCTTGTCTCCTTGTTTCAATATGTCTCTGCTTTCATTACTGTAGCTTTTTTTTTTTTTGGTGATTCTATGGGTGGATCCCAGGGCACATCCCAGGCAAGTACATTACTACATGAGCTACAGCCCCAGCCCAATAATTTTGTCGGTGTTGGTGTTTTTGAGACAGGGTCTCACTATGTAATTCAGGCTTGCTTTGAGCTTACTTTGTAGCTAAGACTGGTCTCCAATTTGCAACGATCCTCCTGAGTACTGGGATTACAGGTGTGCGCCACCATGCCCAGCTTCCAAAGTTTTGATAAACAGTAATAGTTTTCTTTCTGTTTTTTTGGTACTGGGAATCAAACTCAGGACCTTGAACTTGCCAGGCAGGAGGTACTGTGCTGCTGAGATGTATCCCTGGCCCAGTAGTTCGTTCGTTCGTTCTTTCTTTTTTGTATTTTTGAGACAAGGTCTCGCTATGCAGTTCAGGCTTGCCTTGGGCTCACTTTGTAGCCCAGGCTGGTCTCGAACTTGCAAAAATCCTTCTGCCTCAACCTCCCAAATGTTGGTATTACAGGCGTGAGCCACCACGCCTGGCCTAGTAGTTTTCTTGTTCCTTAACATGCTGGATATTCTTAGCCCTTTGCATTCCTAGGTAGATTTTAGAATTATTGGCTGTGTTCCCCAGCAAAATAAAAACCCTCATTGCATTCCTATGCCTTTCATTCCCCCCACTCCAGTGCTAGGGACAGAATGAAGGGTCTTGTGGATGCTCAGAAAATACTCTGCCACTGAGCCACATCCCCAGCCTTAATTAGATTTTGACTAGTGTATACTGAATCCATAGATTGATTTTGGAATATCTAGCTTGTTTTTTTTTTTTTTTTTTTTTGGAGGCAGGGACTCTAGTGCAGACTGTCCTTGAACTCACTAGGTAGCCCAGGCTGGCCTTGAACTCATGACTATCCTCCTTCCTCAGTCTCTTGAGTGCTGGGATATAGGTGTATACCAGGATGCCCAGGTTAGATCTAGCTTTTTTTTGGATCTAGCATTTTTATAATACATACAGAATCTTCCAGTCAGTTAATATGACACATCCTTTTATTTGTTTAGGTCATCTTTAATTTTCTGAGTCATCTTTCATGGCTTTCTGTAGAGAAATATAGAGAAATATATCTTTTGAGATTTTTTTTCTAGGTATATAACGTTCTTAATGCAATTATGTGCTATTAAAATTTTTATAATTATTTGTTGCCAATAAATAGAATTATTTTATATATTGACTGGGTAAGGGCTGCTAGTCTTTGTACTGAGAGACTTGGCTAAATTAATTTTTCTAATAATTTCTGTAGATTCTTACGGATGTTTCTGCATAGTCATGCAATTTTCCAATGGCAGTTTACATCTTCCGTTCTAATTTTTTTTTTTTTTGTTTGTTTTTTGAGGCAAGGTCTCTCTATGCAGTTTAGGCTGTGAGCTGCGATGTCTAACTAAAATGTGTTTTTTTTTTTTGTACTGGGGATTGAACTTATGTTCTCATGCTTGCCAGGCAGGTGCTTATGTGACTGAGCTAAACCCCTGGCCCACATTCTAATTCTTAACTCTTCTTTTTTTATTTTATATATTGGTTAGAGCCCTTTTATAGTGCTGAATGGAAACAGTGACAAGGCAAGTGTGGTGGTACATGCCTGTAATCCCAGCACTCGGGAGGCTAATTATATACTTGCTAGAAGTTTGAGGCCAGCCTGGACTATAGAGTATAGAGTAAGACCCTCTTTGGAAAACCAAAAAAAGAAAAAAGGAAAAACTTTCCTATATAGTCACCTATATAGTAATTAATTATATACTTGGTCTTTAATCTTTCATTTTATTGTGTAGTCTTTTAAGTCGTTATTTCAGATTTGTTAAATAGAAATAGGCTATATTTTGTTCAGCTTTGTTGTTCTTGACAGGAAGGTTAGTTCCAGGTATGGTAGTCCATGATTACTAGAAGTGGGAAAATAATTTCTTTTCATCTGCTTTAATTTTCCCTTTTCTCCTGTGTTCAGGGACTGCCCAGGAGTTCAAGAAGCATTTTGAGTTACCAATTTTGAAGAGTCGAGATGCAAATGCCAGTGAGGCAGATAGGCAGCTAGGAGAAGAGCGGCTGCAGGAGCTCATCAGCATTGTGAACAGGTAACGGCTCCAGGATATCTAAGGTCAGCGAGTTGGGGATCTTGGTCTATTTAGAAGGCTGGGATTCTAAGGAAGGAATAGTCTTTTCCTTGACTATAGCTTTGAATGAATGAAGTCATGCAGACCAAGTCCCTATGTTTATTCTGGCCTAGACCTTTTGGTCTGGTTTTGATCTGCTTACTGACCTGCCGAGGAAGCTCTTCTCTGAGGCAGCAGAGCTTCCTGAGTGAAATGTCCCCTGGAGTACTGTTAGTGCTTCACAAGCTTTCTGGCAGTGCAGTTGGTCTCAGACCTTAAAGCACCATGCTTTCTGTCCCAGCCTCCATGTTTCTGTGACAGGTAGCAAATAGCATGTTAGTTTTGCCAACCCTTGCCTTTTTATCCTATTTTTCTCTAGGTGTCTGATACGGAGGACATCTGATATCCTTTCTAAATATCTGCCTGTGAAGATTGAGCAAGTGGTTTGTTGCAGGTACTGAGCTCAGTGGAAGGGTATGCAATAAGTAGGTAAAAACTTAGTCCGTGAAGCGTGATTGGATCTCAGTGTATCTTCATAGGCCAGAAATGTGTCTAGCTTTTTCTACTAATCTGGCTTCCTTTTTTTAGGCTTACATCCCTTCAGACTGAGTTATACAAGAAATTTCTGAGACAAGCCAAGCCAGCAGAAGAACTGCGTGAAGGCAAGATGAGTGTGTCTTCCCTTTCTTCCATCACGTCACTAAAGAAGCTTTGTAATCGTGAGTTGAGTCCATGCCTTGGTGTACTCTGTAAGGGGCTCTCAAAGGTGGTCCAGTAACCTTCACTGAAATTTGTCCAGAGACCCTCCTGTATTCTAATCCTCCTTAGGATATGAGTCATGCATTGTGGTGTTTTTTTTTTTTTTGTACTGGGGATTGAACTTGCAACCTCGCACTTATGAGGGCAGATGCTTATGCCGCTGAGCTAAATCCCTGGCCCTAGTCCTGCATTGTGGTTCTGTAAAGTAGGCCCTTGTGCTCAAGATTGAACTCAGGGCCTCACTTTTGCTAGGCAAGTGCTCTACTACTGAGCTACATCCCCAGCTCTAAACTACATGCTTTGCTTTGGAAAATTTAACTTATCATCTTCCCAGCCCATGCTTGATTTTCAAGATGTACAGGTCCATGTATGAATGCTTGCACACGCATGTACTTGATAAAATGTTAGGCAAGAGGAGAAATAAACCTGCCACTGCTGTAGCTCCCTTGTTGGGAGAACATACTAGTATGTGAGATTGTCCATCCACGGTTCCAGATGGCACTGACTGACTGCACCCTCTGGGAACTTGGAAGGGTAGAATCTGTCTAGTGCTGAGGAAAGCCTTTTGGCTCGGGCAACTGGAGGGTTTTCTAGGGAACATTGAAATGGAAACTTCAGAAAGCAAAGTAGCTGACATTTTGGTATGGTTTGGTTTCTCAGATCCAGGTCTAATCTATGACAAGTGTGTAGAAGAGGAGGATGGCTTTGAGGGGGCCTTGGACATCTTTCCCCCTGGTTATAGTTCTAAGGCTCTAGAACCACAGCTCTCAGGTGAGCTCTTCACGCCAGCATATGGGCTCCTCTAGGAGAAAAGTGGAAGACAGGAAGAAGTTATTTTTATACTATAGCTGTCTTGCCTCAAGGAAAGCTATCAAGAGTAAGAATCATAGGCCACTGAAACAGCCAGTTGGGGACTGACAGTTGCTGCTCTTCTCAGGTAAGATGTTGGTCCTTGATTACATTCTGGCGGTGACTCGAAGTCGCAGCAGTGACAAAGTAGTGCTGGTGTCCAATTACACCCAGACACTGGATCTCTTTGAGAAGCTCTGCCGAGCCCGAAGGTAGGGAGGAGCCTGATTAGGCCAGCAGAAAGATGTGCCTCTTCCAGTGCCCCTCTACGAGGATTAGATATTCTGACATATAGATGGGGGCTGAGATGTGAGTGAGTACATGAAGAATTTACCCGAAGAGGTCTCTTTCCTTCACAGTAGTCCTAGCTCCATCTCGTGGCAGGCTATCCATTGGTCCCTTAGGTACACCCTCTCCCTCAGGATAGAATCCTAGTCATTAGCTCCCTGTGGGAGGGGTTTAGATTCTGTAGGAGCAGTCTGAAGCTTGATTAGTCCCATCAGTACAGCGTCAGGGCCTCTTGCTTGCTTCTTGGTACTGATCTTTGGACTCCTCTTCAGGTACTTGTATGTCCGCCTGGATGGCACGATGTCCATTAAGAAGCGAGCCAAGATTGTGGAACGCTTCAATAGCCCCTCGGTAAATGTGCAGTCTCTGTCCACACACCAGCAGTACAGTAACATGACTAAGGGTCGGTAGAGAAGTTGTAAGAGGGCTGTGCTTTGGGTTTTTGTTTTTATTTGGGGCAGATATGGTGGTTGGTTTGGAAATTGACTTCTTAGGTTGGAAAACTGGCTATTAGGGAAACTGGTAATCCTTACCACTGGTCTAGATATGAGAAGAGAAGCATAAGAGAGCTGTGCTGAGTAATCTCAGTTTTGGCTATTAGAAGTTCTTTTTCCCAATTCTTTTCTTTCCAGAGCCCTGAGTTTGTCTTCATGCTGAGCAGCAAGGCTGGGGGCTGTGGTCTCAATCTTATTGGGGCCAACCGGCTGGTCATGTTTGACCCTGACTGGAACCCAGCAAACGATGAACAAGCCATGGCCCGGGTTTGGCGCGATGGTCAAAAGAAGACCTGCTATATCTATCGCCTGCTGTCTGTGAGGATGGGGATAGTCACTGGAGTTGGAGTGGGGCTGTAGTTGTTTTTTTGTTGTTGTTTTGTTTTTGTCTTTGTGGTGCTAGGGATCAAACCCAAGGCCTTGTGCATGCTAGGCACATACCATTCAGAGCTATGTTCCCAGTCTTTTTTTTAAGACCATCTGGAACTGCTGGCTCCTCTGCTTCTTATCAGTAACAATGTTGTGGGTCTAGGCTTGAGCCCTTTATTCTTCTGTTCTCTCTCCTGTTTCCATACTACTCATCCAGTGCTTTTCACAGTGCTGTCTAGATGTTTGTTTGGTACATTCTTTTCACAGGGAACCTGTTTTTTTTACCCAATTTCTTTAGCATCACTGGCTTTACAATTTCTTAACTCATGTTCCAAAGGGCTAAGGAGCAGAAACAGCATTTTCTACCATCACCATAGTTCCACATATCTCATAGTTCCTCTTTCTGTAGCTCATGTTGTCTGACTTGACTACTTTTCTTCCTTGCTGTAGTCATCTAACTTCTGCTATGTTCCTAATTCATGATGATTTTTGGACATTGGCTATTTCTTTCCCAAATCCAGCAGTCATTTTGGCTGACCTTTGGGACCATGCAGTTTTCCAGAACTCTGGCCTTCATGTTTCATGACCTCAAGTCTCTATAAGTCCACACTACAGAACTTAGTACCCAAAAGTTTAACTGTTATCCTACTCTTACATGCCATCCTTCAGCTTTCTGATACCTGCTACATTTACTTTAACCTGGTGCCGCCAGAATCTCTCCCATCCCTCTTTGCTCCACTCTGACTTGGTTTCCTTTTTTATCCAGTATGAGCCTTACTTTTTTAGCCACTCTGTTCCCAGTACCTTTCTACTTGAATTATTTCAGCTGTTCTCAGCTTCCATACCAACTAAAACTTGTCTTTATAGGGTAGACTCTTCAAATTTATACTCTCCCTTTATAGATTAGTCCATACCTTATTCCTTCAGCAATACTGCAAGCCTTCACCTTGTCCCTCAGGTTTCTTACCTAAGCATGGCTTGTTCTGTTTAAGAGACTTTATCTTCTCCACAGAGAAAACATAGGCTACTCTCTCATGTCCCTTCCTCTCTTCTGTAAGTATCTATAGCTGATCTTCCTTCCCATCTCTAAGGATGCCCTGTTTTCCTTTTACATCTGTTCTAAAGCCCTAACATAAGCATATACTACCATACCTCACTTCCAGTTAGAGTTTTCTGAACACTTTTATGCTTTCCCTTCTAGATTCTGAATGGATTTCCCTTTGACTCATTTAATGGCACCATTATTCACTTAACTCAAGCCTGGAAATCATCCAACTGGACTACTTTTTGCCTCAACCAGATTCCTACCACTTATCACTTATTTAATCTTCCTGAAATTTCCTTAATCTAACCCTCCTCTCCATTACTTGGAAGGACACAGTCAGCTGTCATGTGGATATTTTAAGTAGCTAATTCTTTTTTTTTAACAGGGTTTTTTTTTTTTTTTTTTTTTTTTTTTTTTTTTTTGATACCAGGGATTGAACTCCTGACCTTGCACTTGCCAAGCAGGTGCTTGTGCCCCTGAGCTAAGTCTCCAGTACTCTGTGACCTTGTGTCTTAACCCATTTCTTCACAATCTGCTTCTAAAATAAGCTCTCCAAAAATTATAAATTTGCTCTTCATTGCTTCAAAGACAAAGTCTTTCAGCCTAGCATCCAAGGCTCTCCAATATGGCTTCCCTTTCCCACTCCTGCCTCCATTGTCCTCTGTTCCTGTAGTCAGCCTCAACACAGCTCTCCCTCTCACTGACTTACTGAGAGTCTCTCTGTTGATCAAGCTAGCTTGAACTTTTGGGCCCAGATAACCTTGTAGGCTCCACTTCAAAGTCAGAACTTTTCATAATCCTTTAATAGGCCAAATTTATATCTTTGTTTCTGTGCTGGGAATGCTTTTGCTCCTTCTTTCTGTGTAAACTTGCTATGATTTTTCAAGATTTAGTTTAATAAAGGTTTTGCCATGCAGTTCAGGCTGGCCTCAAGCTCACGTTGTAGTCCAGGCTGGTCTTGAACTTGCAATCCTCCTGCCCTCAGCCTTCTGAAGGCTGGGATCACAGATGTGTGCCATCATGCCCAGCCACTTAAAGATAATCTTTTAAGCTTTTTTTTTTTTTTTGTCTTTTTCCTTTTTACCGGTACCGGGGATCGAACTCACGACTGCCTGCTTGCAAGGCAGGCACTTATGCCGCTGAGTTAAATCCCCAGCCCCCAATCTTTTAAGCTTTTTAACATTCTGACATCCCTCTTGTGGTTGCTGTGTATCCTGTACAGAGATCTTATTATACAAATTTGTTTATATGTCTATCCCTCCAATTAGTCAAGGATTGGGATCATACCCGATTCCCTTGATAGCACAGGGCCTGGCATAGACCAGATACCCAAATGATTACAGAACTGAGAGCTAGGCTTAATGTGAAGGCAACCTCAGTTCATCCTAAAGGAACTTGCCAGGTCCTGAGACCCTTCATGGTTTGCAAAATAGGTTGGGATGGGCATGATAGTGCACTTCTATAATCCCAGCACCCGGGAGGCACAGGCAGGAGGATTTCTTTGAGTTCAAGGCCAGCTGAATGAATAGCAGAACCCTGTGTCAAAAAAAAAAAAAAAAAAAAGAAGAAGAAGAAGAAGAAAGAAAAACAAAATAACCTGTGCAGATGCACATGCAGGTCTAGGAGGTACTTGAGAAAATGAGGCTTCGCTCAGTATGCCGGTATTACACTTCTCATTTCACCTGTACTTAAGTGGCTATAGTTTCAACCCATGGGTTTCCCTGCTCCTCCATGGGGATTACTGTGTTCTCAATCCTGTTCCCTCAGGCAGGAACCATTGAGGAGAAGATCTTCCAGCGGCAGAGCCACAAGAAGGCACTAAGTAGCTGTGTGGTTGATGAAGAGCAGAATGTAGAGCGGCACTTCTCTCTGGGCGAGCTGAAGGAGCTATTTACTCTGGATGAGACTAGCCTTAGTGATACACATGACAGGTTGGTGACATGCATTTACTGTTGTCTCTGAGCCACCTAATATTGAGATGTATAGTGACTTCAGCTCTGTTCTCATTCAGGCTTCATTGTCGCCGATGTGTCAATAGCCGTCAGGTCTGGCCACCCCCTGATGGTTCTGACTGCACTTCAGACCTCGCTCAGTGGAACCACAACACTGATAAGCAAGGTCTGCAGGATGAGGTACTCCAGGCTGCCTGGGATGCTGCCTCCACAAGCATCACCTTTGTCTTCCACCAGCGTTCCCATGAAGAACAGCGAGGGCTTCATTCATGACCATCTGATCCAAGTGTAGCTGTTAGAGGAAAGATACAGGGAAAGGGGTTCCCTGTCCCACCATACCCTGCTGAATTTTGTTCTCTGGGAGAAAAACATCAAGAAGGGCTGCATGATGTTTGCCCAAAATTTATTTTATAAGAAAAACTTTTTTTGGTTAAAAAAAAGAAAAGAATAAAGGTATGAAAGGGACTGAGGCCTGAGAGCAGTGTGGTAAGCCCAGAAGGAAAGAGGCCTGGTAGTGGGCACGCCTACACTTCTCTAAAGCCTATGTGCCTGCTTGAGGAGGGGAGGCGGGAACCTAGGGCAAGGGGAGGGAATTGTCTTCAGTGACAATGATGACCACTGTGACCACCTGGCCCAGGGTTCCCAGAGGACTGAGTAAGGGGCCCAAAGGCTTCTAAGCCCAACTGTGGGAATGCCTTAGCTGGGCAATACCAAGGCCTCCAGGACCTCAGTGCAAGGGAAAATGGAAAAAGAGGAAAAAGGTGACAGAAAGAGAAAGATAGAATTGATGGTTAGGATTCTGGGCAGCCCATACTATAGCCACTAGCTGAACATGGGTCTGTGAGGTATGGGCCCCATCACATGGTGCTGACATAATCTGCAAAGGCTTGGGATGAGTCCCATGAGTCGCTAACCACATGGCAGGTGGCCCGGAGGCGCCGGATAGCTTCCCTGGCTGTAACTGCATCCTGGTCCAGCCAGTTCTGGAAGAGGCGCAGGTGACCAAAGGCTCCACGGCCCCAGCGCTCCAGCCGCTTGGCAAACTCCAAAAGTCCATCTGGCTTGATACAGTTGGAACTGTTAGAGATGAGATTAATTAGATATCCAGCAATTAACTAATCCCTGGTCTGTAGCTCTGTGGTCCCACCCCCCAATGTACCTGATGTCCAGCTGACAGAGAGAAGAGGAAGAATCCTCTGAAAAAACATCTGCCAGAGCTAGCAGGCCAGCATTTCCTGAAGAGAAGGGGAGAAGTGCCCATTACCTCCACCAAAGCATAGGGAACAAAGGTATCCCAATCCAATTCTGGCTGAGAAGCCCCAGCATATAAAGCCTATATTCTAACTCTCATCTTCCCAGTGTAGAGGTCTATGCCTCTACCCAGGGAGTTTCTAGGTCAAAGGCCTGGCTTTCCCCCCTCCCACCCCGGGGTCCGGCTCCCACCCAGGCGGTTCCCAGGCAGCCGAAGGCCCTTCAGTGTGGAGTTGCCCTTCATAGCAGCAACCATCTCAGGCAGAAATTGGGCTCGACGCTTCTCAAACAGACGGCAGAAGGAGAAGGTAATCTCTGTCAAGAGAAATTAAGAGCAGTTTTGGATGGCTGAATTAGCAGCTGGTGCTGCCCCTCCTGTCCCAGGTATCCTTAGTAAGGTATTGAACTTTTTAGGCCTGAAAAGAATCTCGCCAAAATTCTAAGCAATCCTGGAAGTGAATCAGGGTTGAAATACAAGACTGAGTCTAAGCATTACTAGGAGGAGGATTTCTGCATGAATCCTTTATTCACTCTATCCACTGACCATTTTATACTATGATGGGATCAGAGAAGTCAGTCAGGGAAGCTTGTAGTTTTATACTGACCACCATTTCTGCCAGCCCATGAAAGGTAAGAAAAATGTCAGGTGAAGTACTATAACATGAGTAATTTTCCATGCTTGTAGAGGAGCTGAGTTTCAGACTTTTAGAAGGAAGGTCATGTAGATTGTATGTCTTTTTTTTATAGCTGAGGAACCATGGTGAAGAAAGGAACAGTGAGAGCTCATTCAGTGAGACAGCAGTGGAGCCACAATGAAGACCCAGCAATCCCCAAGTTCGAGATTAGGAAGTTACCTTGAAGAGTCAGGTTCTGTAGCAAAAAGAGCACCTCACTCTGACAGTCAGCCAGATTCATGTCATGGAAGCTCAGCCTCTTCAGGGCTAAGTTGTACTCTGGATAGGAGGCACAGACCACAGACATGGGCCTTAGCTTTCCCGAGGAACACTGCTAGGTCCCCTCCTTCCCTCCATCACCATTCTAACTTTTTCCTACCTTTGAGTGTCTGTAACACAAGTCCAAAATCCTGGGGAGAGGCAAAGGTGGCACTGTCCAGGGATAGCTGCTGCAGAGAGCCTGAGGCCTTCAGAACAGAGCACAGCAGTGGGGCCGGCTGGGCTCCTCGTGGAAATCCCATCTCCAACTGCTCCAGACAATTTTCTGAATATGACAGGGAAAGAAGATTCCAGCTGGCTATCTAGCTCATGCCCAATAGTAAGTTCCAATGTTGGCTTTAAGGGATAAGCTAAAAATAATTTATTCATCCACTTGTCCTTGTCAGTCACTGTGTTTGGTTCTGGAAATCCAATGCTAAATATGAGATTTGGTCCCTTGTCCTCAAGTTTCACTCCTGGAAGATTAAATCACTCAGGCAAATATAGAGTATATAAGCAGGATGGTGGGATTTGTGTATAGAAATTATAGGAACATAGCAAGGGGATCTAATTTGATATAGGTTCAGATCCCTCTTATGGAAACTAAACTGCTATGGTTACCCTCTAGGCTTACAGTAGTATGGGCCTTATCCAGCCCAAGGTTATGGTAAAGAACAGTAGCCTCTAAAGGAGGAAAAGATTCTAGATGAGCCAGGAATGAATCAAAGCAGACCTGGAGTGGAAATCCTCCCTTCCCCATACCAGTGCACTTGCATATTGGTGTAGAGACGTGTGTACACAGTGCTTCACCTGGTATCTCTTCATCTCCAATTATGTGGCTAGGGGGCCCAGTGTTCCCTGGCACAGCAGGGTTGTCCCGCTGACTTGGATGGTCAACACGGATAGAGAGAACCCGCAGCAGGGGCAGGGCTCGCACGATGGCACGTGTTAACTCCAGGATGGGCAGCGGTGAGAATAGATCACTGAGATGCAGGGCACGGAGGCGACATCCAGCCTGGCCTGACAGGGCCCTCAGGCTGTCCAGCAGGCGGAAGATGTTAGAGCCCAGGCCTGTGGCAGGAAAGATTAAATCAGTCATGTGGGTGTCAGCAGGAGACAACATTCAGAGACAACTTCAAATATGTCTATTGATTACTGAAAAATCTTGAGCTTTGATCAGGTTTTTATAAAACTTTTCTCTAGACTACTCATCTGTATCTTGCTTTTTTCTCAGGTAACCAGCATATTCTGATACTCTGATGCCTCCTGTGTTAGGCTGTGCCCTCAAGAAGAATCAGGGCACAGTCCAAAGATAAAAAAGGTTTGGTAGGGCAGCATGTGGCTATCAGGAGACGGATAGCCCCAGAGAGCAGCACAAGTCTCCAGATTTCTGAGTCCTACGTAGTGTCCTGAAAAAGCTGGGTCTTCTAAGGATCATAAATTTGAAACAAGCCTAGGCAACTTAGTGAGACCTTGACCCAAAAACAGTGTGGTGGCACATGCCTGTAATTCCAGTCCTTGAGAGGCTGAGGTGGGAGGATCACCCTAAGTCTGAGGCAAACCTGGGCTACAGCTACACAGTGAGTCCAAGGCCAGCATGGACTTCAATGTGAAATCTTGTACACCAAAAGAAAAAAGTGTGTGTGTGGCTTTATGGTAGAGCCCCCCTGTGTTCTATTTCCATGAGTGCAAGAAGCTGGACCTGTAGGGAAAAATTTTTAAGTGGAAGACATGAGTAGTCGGTTTTATCTATCTAGATGGGGCCTTAGGAAACTAAAGTATCAGTGACCTAGAGGGAATGTTTCAAGATTCAGTTGGTAGGAATGAAGCAGAAAAATAATGACATCTGGAGGGAGTGAGATAGCTTAGTGATAAAATATATGCAAGTGCAAAGCCCTAGATTCAGTCCCCAACACAGGTTAAATAGATCCAGAAAGGTGCGATAGTTGCTTATTAATGCCATAGGCAAATACCTTAGAACCTATTCCTCATCTCTTCTTGGAATGTGGGTACCTGTCCATTGAACCAAAATTTACCCAGGACCCACCAAATAGGGTTTTTTGCTAGATACTAGTGAGTAGCACATAATGTTCTTGCCTGTATTACCTGATTAAAAACAGGAACCAGACAAAGTATAATGAAGTACAGAAGATGAGCACCTAACAGTCTGGCTTGTATCAGTAAGTTTCCCAGCTGTCCTAGAGTAAAAAGAATCACTAATAGAGGAAATGACATAGAGGTTTGGAGGAGGAATGGCAGGTTTTAAGAAATGAAAAATGTTATGGTCAGTGTGTAAAATTTAAGAGGGAAAACATTCAACTTATAGAGGGAAGCAGAAGACAGAACATGAGTGACTATTGTAAACTAAGTAGTGAAGGAAGCCATGGAAATTTTTAAAAAGTGTTTCTGCTATACTGTAGATGGAGTCACGAAGAACTATTGATGTGATGGATTGAGGCAAGGAGTACAGGTAGCCTGAATTAAGGATGTGGACACAGGGATGGATCTGAAAAAATATAAAAACATGACCTGGTGATTAAACAGATGCAGAGACAGAAGCTTGTTTCCTTGGGTGACTGTTTCAACTGTGATGTCACTGAAAACAGGATCAGTAGAGTGAAGATGTATCCAGGTTAGACATGAGTCTTGAGGTTATGAAGGGGTAATGTCTAGTAGTCAGTTGGATAAATCCATCAGAGTTCAGGAAAAAGATGTGGGATAATGTCATAAAATGGAAAGTTTAGCATAGTTGGCTACTGAAGCTACAGGAATGGGTGAAATCTATTGTGTAAAGTAGGAGAGGTCTAAGGAACTGAATTTAAGAATTTAGTGGTGGCGCATATCTATAATCCTAGCACTGGGAGGCTGAAGCAAGAGGATGGCCGAGTTTGAGGCCAGCCTGGACCACACAGCAAGACCTTGTTTCAACAAAACAAAACAAGGGCCAGGGATATAGCTTAGTGGCTCAGCATCTGCCTGGTAAGTGTAAGTGTGTGAGGTCATGAGTTTGATTCTTGGTACCAAAGGGAAAAAAAAAAAAGCAAAACAAAATAGGAAAAGAGATAAGGTAATGTTCAAAAAGATTTCTCACTAGTGAGTTTTTCACAGTAAAGCTACCAAGTTGATGTAATAATTTAGAAGTACATGTCAGCCTGAACTACAGTTAAGACATCTTAAAAAAAATATAGTATCTAGTAATGAGGCTACCAAGCTATGAGTGAAACATGACTTATAAATTTGTGAAAAACTGGAGAAAAGGGATAGTTAAGGGATAGAGGGAGATGATGCTGATTGTGGTGGAGACCCAATTTGAATTTTTATAGTACTGAGGATCGAACCCAGGGCCTTCACATGGACCTGCATTCCCACTCCTACTCTTTTTTTTTTTTTTTTTTTTTTCTTTTTCCTTTTTATCGGTACCGGGGATCTACTCACGACTGCCTGCTTGCAAGGCAGGCACTTATGCCGCTGAGCTAAATCCCCAGTCCCTCTTCTACTCTTTTTAAACATTATTTTTGGCTGGGCATGGTAGTAATCTCAGCACTTGGGAGGCTGAGGCAGCAGGGTTACTATGAGTTCCAACCCAGCCTGAACTACATAGCAAGGCTG